ACAAATGTTGATAGGAAACCATCAGTCCATCATGTCAACAATCATCCTCATCATCAGTGGATGAACAAATGAAAGGATGTTTGGACTAAAGTAATATACCATAATCTAAATCTGACAGTATTTAGTGACATAAATAATTGGAGAGGCTCAGGTTATCCTGGGCTATCGCTACAGCTAAGCTGCAGATCCCCAAAGCGGATGTGTTTTACTTTGTTAGCGCGTCTCTCTTCCTGTCAGACCCATGAAATTGCTGCTGAATTGCTGCATAGTCCCAATAAAATAGACCTGGGCTCTATCTCAGAGCTACACTGCCCCCTGCAGGAAATCAGCCCCATTGACTCTCAATCAGCGCTAAACGCCACCACCTCTAAATGCCTTGATGCTCAATACCAATTTTTTGCGAAATCCGATTTTTTTTTGCTTTGTCGTTCATATTTGCAAATATATGCGACTTGTATGTGATCTCCTGTGTGAACTGCAGTCATACAATGAAAATATCCCGCATGCGCAGTAGAGGACGCAATGATGTCACAGGCCAGCCTGCTTCGTGTTTATGGAAGTAAACATGGATGGTAGCGCCGGCGCGCATCTAGTGATCTTTTTCAACCATAAAACCTCAATCTTTTCTAGATGGTTAAACATAAATACTACCCTCTGCATCATCGTCTGCCATGGTGTGACGATAATGCAGAGAGCAGTATTTATGTTTAACCATCTTGCAAAGATTGAGAATAGTGACCTTTGTCAGGTATTAATGGCGTTCACGTCGGATGAATGCGACCTGGCCGCTCAGACACAGGTCGCATTTAAAAAGATCAGATCCTTATCGGAGTTAGGACCTAAGAGCCAGGCAGCCTGGGAAAATCCGATCTGAGTTGTTTAGACTGTCACGAAAAGATCACATCCAGGTTGCATGTGGGCCAAAAAATTGGATTTGGGTCACTGTAGGCTGCAGTGTGAACGTAGCTTATGGCACCATTTTCTGTGGCACCGGGCACTAAACTGGATTCTTTGATTTCTGGCCTTTAGACTGCTGGAGGACATAGGGACCCCTTTTTCATCATTCTGCTTCATTCTATCTCTATAGTTCTGCTGCTATAGGCTTAGACTGCTGGAGGACATAGGGACCCCTTTTTCATCATTCTGCTTCATTCTATCTCTGTAGTTCTGCTGCTATAGGCTTAGACTGCTGGAGGACATAGGGACCCCTTTTGCATCATTCTGCTTCATTCTATCTCTATAGTTCTGCTGCTATAGGCTTAGACTGCTGGAGGACATAGGGACCCCTTTTTCATCATTCTGCTTCATTTTATCTCTATAGTTCTGCTGCTATAGGCTTAGACTGCTGGAGGACATAGG